CAGGAAGTGGAGCGCCATTGCGCTCCCAGAAGTGGCCGCAGCAATCGGCCATCTTGCAATCAGCTGTGGGGGGATCCCCCCCTAGTCGGCGGGATTGGCAACAGGGGGACCCATCCCCGCCCTGATTTCAAGAATCGCTGAGGGGGCATGTGTCCACCACAACTAAGGCAGCACCAGTCACCCATGACTGTTTATGACTTAATTGATGATACTAATACACAAATGAGAAAATGAATAGAAAGGAACCTTGCAAATACGTTTTTTCCCAGGAAGGAAAAAATCAGTGCTTGCCAATCAGCAAGAAGTTGTAGATTTAAGGTTCTTTGAGAGTTTTACCAATAATGAAAAATTGTAATGCAAACAATTTTAAACAACTATTCAGATTTTTCTTATAATGTATTATTTTGAATGGCTTGTTGTTGAATTATTATTTTTCTCATTTCTTTTAAGATTTATATATTGCCGATGAACTTGTTTTTGTTGATAATTTGGAAAAGTATTGTAAACAACTTCCGACTCTACGTGTACTTTTGAGCAGACTAAAAATTTTCTTAGTCAAGGATCCTCTTTTAAATCCTAAAGAAGAGAACTTCACAGAAGAAGACATTTTCAAGTAATTACCAAATTGTTACATACTTTTGACCTCAAAATTTACTTACCTATATGTTTGTAATCAAATGTGATCAATATTATCCTTTAACATCTTAACTCCTATTATTTTATTATGCATTTTGTTTAATTGAAATGCCTTTATAGTGGCGAAGAATTAAGATATCTAATTAGTTTAAAAAAAAAACAATTCCTTTTCATTAGAAGTAAGAATGGGTAGGATGGAGGTTACATCCTGTATTAAAGAGAATGCACGAAATCAACTGACATGATTTTTTGGCATTCTCAATGTCTAATTGTACTTGGGGGGGTTTACTACAGCTTGGAATGTTGAAATAATGTTCATTTTTAAACAATCTAATCCTCCTCAGTCAAAATTTCCTGTGAGTACAATGGGCAGGATTTGTCGCCCTCAGAAGTCCAGGGACAAAATCCTGATCCCAGCTGTTTCCTGTACATGTAATGCGGGGCTGCTCTGATGCGCAGTAATTAATCAAGTCTACTGGAGCATAGTAATTACTGTGCATGTCCACATCCATGCACTTGAAAATGGTGGCAGGGACACTTGATCTAAAGATCATTAAACAGAGCCTCTCTAATTAAAGCCCTTCCCCCCAGCTCTGGAGCAGATTGAAAAGTGCCCAATGAAGTCAATTGCAAAACTGACATTGAATTAATGGAGACCGGGAATTTATCCCCAACAGTGTTGTCAGCAAGCCCAGATTACATAGACCAGTGTCCCACAGTTCTTTCAAAAATTAAACAGTCACTCTTCTGGTGTTTGCCCAAGTACATTTTATTGTATCAAATATAATCCAGAGATTATTTGGTACCTGCCACTTTAAGGGGCTTGAGCAAGCTGTGGAGCAGCCAGCAGGTGAGGTCTTGCCCAATTAGATGGCCACATGACTGAAAGGGGCCCACTGGATTGGAGGAGGGCTGGGCAGCCTCAGTATAAGCCCAGGCCCTAGGAGCAGAGCCGGAAGTTACACCTAGTGAGGAACAACACCTAGGTAATTCATTCAAGAGGAACAACATCACACAGACTGCAGGATCACGGGCATCGACACTGTAACTGTCCCTCTTCCCTGCAAATAACACACTTCAGTACTTCTTGGCAGTCCTCCACCCTGTGCCCTTTCCCTTCACATCTGTAGAATATTGTATACCAGCAGTATGCATCCAGGTGTCCTTCATGCCCATGCTTGTTACAGAGTTTAGGCTTCCAAAATATATTGTAAACCCCCAGTGTGGCCCTACTTGGATTACTGGCATTAAGTGCATTATCCCATCAGACTTCCTCTTATCTAACTTCATTACCACCCAAACTCTTCATTATCCTATCCATATACCGTATTAATCACATATCTTCTCAGCATACTTAAATTTTTTGTACATAATTCTCCAACCATTTCTCTACTTCCTCCATTTCAAGCATGTCCATTTACATTCAAACAATTATTGTCCATTCTCTTGTCTTTTCTCCTACAGTAAAACTTATCCCCTTAAGTTCTTCTCTCTCACCAACTGCCACATATGTCTTCCAAAAATCCTCATAACCTTCTCAGTTCCAATATGAAATTCAAGACTTCTGGTTAAGAAAGACAACCAGGCTATTCAAATGTTTTGCTTTAACATCCAAAATGTCAAACAATATTTTTCTATAAATTCATATCTATTCATTCTCCAACTTCTCTGTTCTCCTGTCCCTATTACTACTGCTCTTATTCTCAGATATAGATTACCTGCCACTCCATCTCTCACTTCCTCCCATCTTTTCTCTTTGCAGTTCTAGTTTATTCCTCCCACTAGTCTTCCTCTTCCCTTCAATGACTGTTTCATTCCTTGTTTCTCTCTCATAACCTCCTCTCCTCCTGTTCTTGCTGCCCACTTGGCTCTTCCCTCATTGTTTCCTTCAATAAAGCCTCCTTCAAAACCACCGATCCCACCACACCTTTCTTTCCTACCTTTTTCTGTCCCGTCTTTCCCACCTTTGTCCATCCTGCATCAGACTCGGAATCTTCATTTTCATTCTTCAATTCACTTCTCATCTCTTGGTCCACTTTCCGTTCCATAACTGTCACTCTCCTTCCCAAAACCGCCACCAGTGCTGTTCCAAGCGCCGAGAACTCCTCTTCCTTCTTCATCCCAGTACTCCGGCACTATCCCCCCAGTGCTTCTGGCATCATTCAGGCAGTATGCAAGACCTTTGCATGGCCACTGCGCTTGATCTTAGCTAAAGGTGGCTAAGAAGCTATGCCACTGATAGGAAGCTACTCTAAGGACAGGTTAGGACAGACCATCTGAATACAGTATGTGGCATTCCCCATTGCATTCAGTCCCTGCTTAGCACCAACTCTTTTTAAAGTCATAATGAGTTACTACATTGAATACATTTTGACTTCTTCAGTCCTAGAGCTGAACTGTGCCTTTCTTTTGCATGTCCAGTGATTCCTGTTGCTTCACCAGCCTTAAATGTCTGGCAGACATCAGAAAACAGTTGGGCCTCAAACAGTCCACCCAGGATCCCTTTATTGCCCACTCTTTCAGCCTGTGGCATATGATTAGTGTGGCCCAAACCTCCGTGAGGTGGAGCTGGACTAGGTTGCCCTGTGCCTCATGTACATTTACATTTTTGGAGCATCCCAGGACTCATGACAAAAACACCCAGTTCTAGATACAAGTGGGGGCAAATTAGTACATGGATCCTTTGTGGGGGACACACACATACAGAGCAGTGCTCAGCTGTGGAGTCACCATGACTTTAAACACTGTTGACTCTTCCAGTGCCCAGTCCAATGAACTATATGGTAAATCATGAGCCTTTTGACTAATATCATGTATAATTTGTACTATATATAAGTAAGTACAAAAGTGCTGCTTAAAAGCATGTTTATAGAGTACCTGTGCAAAAGTTTGCCACAACTTCGAAAAAAGTAAAATACATCAATTCATGGACATGTGTATTTCAAAATCAGTTTTTTTCAAATTTGCCCCTCACTTCTATGTGCTCTGGAAGAATAGGTTCTGACAGTAAGTGGGGGAAGAGGCTGTAGGGGGAAGAAATTGAGGTGGCAAAGAGACCACCTGGCTGCCCCCCAGATTTAGCTTCCCTGCTAAAGCAGTGTGAGTGGAACAAATTCAAGGCAAACTTCCAATAATTAGATTCTGTACTAGAAAATTTATAACACATTTATAGACTTTCCATGTATAAAATTAATTATTTGGGGGTTGTCTTATATTCAGGATCATCTTCTATTTGAGTAAATACAGTATACTTGCATATATATTGCAAAATATGCTATAGAATATTATTTTACAAAGTAAGGGCACCTTTAGTTTTAGGAGAACATGATCGTATAGCAGAAGTGTACATAATTTAGTTACAATTCAATTGTCATTTGTATAATTTCTAATCCCAACATGTAATCTAATCATCAGCATAATTCAGTTTTGAGTTATAAATTTGATTAGTCTCATTGAAGATAATCAATTTAGTTTTCATGAACTCATGCGCAGCGTGCGGCCGCATTAATTTGATAAAATGCAATTTCTGCAGTTTATTTTAAAATCCATATTTTGAGAAATATTTATAAAACCCCAGCAAAATGCAGTGTCTGCATGTGGAGAGCAATTATAAGAGCCCGGTTCTCAATTATAAGAGCAATTATAAGAGCCCTGGTTCTAGTCCTTAAAGTGTTTCTGTCTGGTTTCTTTTCTCTTCCAAATATTGACTAGAAGGAATTTTCAGCGTTATCCTCTCTCATTCCAAGCTGAGCTCCTCAATGTGCATCTCAGATTGTTTGGCCCCATTACAGTTTCTTTCTCAACTGTTTCCATTGAAAATGTGCTGCCAGCAAGAGAGGGAAGGAGAATGGCATCTGTAACGAGAGATGACAGGGAGTCCTTCATAACAGATGGCTTTGCCCTTTAGCTGATTCATGCATTTAGGTAGTAATTCTAGGAAGCTATACTCTGCCAGTGGAACAGTTAGTGGTAACTATACCTTATTCTTACAAACTTCCATGAAATTTAAAGGTTTAAATGCTGAAATTCTTTTTTTTTTAAATTTCTATACTCTTTTAAAATATGTTCCACTAATGAGTCAGGAGTTGGTGAGCAAGATTGCCTATTTAGTGGTCCCTTTCACAGCTGTAATACATTTTGAGATCCTGGGGATTGGGAATTGTTTCTGGTTATAAGTTTTAGAAAGTTTTTTTTGCATCCACTCTTGCTCCTAACATACCTGCATAATTCTTAATTTTGTTTCTTTGCTATTTAAAAATAATGTCAGTTCACCTTTGAAGAACTTTTTCTAATTTATTTTTAATCCATCACTCTGTGTTTTTTTAATGTAGAATGTTTCACAAAAAATTATATAAAAGGAAAGATTTAAGAAATTTTCAATACTATTAGATCATAAAAATGCTTTATACTTTAGAAAACTATTCAATGAAAATTAGTCTCTAAGACTATGTAGTATACAGTAATATAAATGATTGCGAAGTTTCAGCATTGTAACAGTGATAGAGTCAAAGGGTATCTGCACCTGTTACACTTAGATTGACCTAACTAAGGCTAGGTCCATCTAAGTGCCAGTCTGTATTGATGCTTGGGGAGGTTAGATTGGGCAAAAAATGGCCAGGCTGATCTAAATTAGTTCACCTGAGGAGGTGAACATCTGTACAACCTTTGGAGAGCAGCCCTAGAGCTGGGAAAGCTCAGTTGCTGGCCCCAGCCCCAGGGCTCTGCTCTTTCTACCCCCTACCCCAATCCTGACTGGGCTTTTAGCCTTCCCATCCCCCACCCGTGGACAGGCAACCCTCCCCCACCAACAGACCCACCCACCTGCCCCACCCATGAACCTGCCAACCCCTCCAGTGCTGCCAACCTACCGCTTCCTACCAACTCTGACTTACTTAGGGTCAGAGATGATCTGAGCAGGGTGCAGGGCCCCACCCCCAGATGCAAGGAAGCCAGTGGCAGTTTCAGCAGCGGGTCGGGAGTGGGGGAGTGCCAAGCAGCTGAATGTGAAGCCGGCGGTAACACGGAGTCACCATGGCTGCTCCACCCAGCTCCGCAAGGCCCCCCAAAGCGCAGGGTCCAGGGCAGTTGCCCTGATTCAGCCTCTCCCCTAGGGACAGCCCTGCTTAGGGTATTAGTCACTAAGGCTATTGTTAAAATTTTGTATCAGGAATATGTTACATGCATGACTCATGCCAATTTGGTGACCTTTTAGGGAAAGTTTTATGTTTCAAAGTGACATGGAAACTCATGAGATTGAAAAGGAACTGCACACAGTTGAAGAGCATTTTTGTCAAGTATCTTTAAAGGATGCAGAGGTATTACTAATTACTTTTACACCTATGATTTTAATGATTGCTGTCTAATATACTAATTAGAATCTGTACCTGCATTTTTACTTAAAGGTGACCTAGGGCACTTTTACATGTGTTCTGGAGGTGGGGGGTGCTTTAATTAGAGCAGCTCCAAAAGCCACTTTAATTAAAGCATTGCAGTGTCTTGTGTATTGGCATCCCTGCACTTCAAAATGACAGTGGGGGCACTTGAACTACAGCTTGTTGAACATGGGAATGCTAATACATGAGACGTGGAGGCTGGTTGTACCACGGTAATTACCACACTCAATTAATTTAGTCTGCTGTGATGCACTGTAATTCCAGCATGTCGGAACATCCCTGCAACATATCTGTTGGCACCCCTAAAGCTCACTTTAATAGAATTCCTTTAATTTTTTAAAATTTACTGAATACCTCTGGTATCCAAAGCCAAAAGTGTATTCAGCATACTCTTACTGTAAATCAGCAGCTGAATCTCCAGAGCCCCATTTAAAAGTCTGAATTGAAGCTGAAGCCTTTGAATTGATTCAGAATAGATTCAGAAAGATTCGGAGATTCGGATCGGCCGGGGAGAGGCAGGCACAGCTGGGCAGCTGCAGGTTCTCCCACAGCTCCTCCAACTGTGTGTGCCTCTCCCCAGACAGGGGGAGCTGTGGGAGAAGCCCCCATGGCTGCCCTGCCCAGCCCCGTCCCCTGCCCGGCCCCAGCCTAGTCCTGGAACTTAAAAAAAAAAACATCTGTGGAGGCTCTTGGGCCTCCTAGCAGAGCTCCCCCACCCCTGATGGCCCCTCGTCCAGCCCCAGAAGTCCAGGAACCAAAAAAACCCCCTCACTCACCGGCAGTGACTGTGCGGGCTCTAGGGCCATGTGGCAGAGCGCCCCCTGTACAGCCCCCGCTCCTCGTTCTCCCCCCCAATGGCTGCCCAGCCCCCACAATTAAATAAATAAGTAAATAAGCCCCGCACTCATCAGATCTGGCAGCGATCAGGGCATCTGAGGGCTCATGGCAGATCCCCGCTATGCAGCGTGGGAAAGCAGGGATTGCGCAGCTGCCCCATGGCATGGGTGCAGAGCAGCTCGGCAGGGCACCATGCACTGTCTGGGAGCTGGGGCAACTCTGTATGTCCGGCACCACTCAGCCCCAGCAGCCCCAGCTCCTAGACAGTGCACGGTGCCCTGGCAAGTCAGGCTGCACCCGCGCCATGGGGCAGCTGCTGTGTGGTTGCCAGGTGGGAGGGGTGATCCCCGCTGCCCCCCACTACCCCGCACTGTGCAGGGGGGGCTCTGCCACAAGTCCTCGGAGGCCCCAATTGCTGCTCCTGCAGCTGGTGAGTGCCAGGGTGTTTTTTGTTTTTTTTTTAAATTGCTGGGGCTGGCAGGGCACCCATCGGGAGCAGGGTTTGGTGGGGGGTCAATGGGGAGCAGGGGCTGTGCAGGGGGGAGGGGCTCTGTCATGTGGCCCCAAAGCCCCCACAGCAGCTGCCAGAGCTGGTGAGTGCATTTTTTGTGGGGGGGTTTAAGTGCCGGGAGACTGCAGCTGGGCGGGGGATGGAGCTGGGCAGGGCAGCTATGGGGGCTTCTGCAGCTCCCCCCTGCCCTGGCAAAGGCAGGCACAGCTGGAGGAGCTGCAGGAGAACCTGCAGCCTCCCGACTGTGCCTGCTTCTGTGCAGCTGATCCAAATCTCCAAATCAGCACTGAATCTCTGATTCTGATTTGGCTGAATCAAATAGAGACAGTGATTCAAATCACCTCCAAATCGACAGAATCCCAATCGAATACTTCCCCATTTGCATAGGCCTAGTAGCTATTTCAGCTATGATATGATACACTTGCATATGTTATGCTGGTTGCAAGAAGAAATGTGCAAGTTAAATGTTATTTTTATACTAGAACCACACTCCCAAAACCATGGTCCTTATTCTGGCGAATTCCCATTTACTTCAGTGGGGGTTTAGCAGACAGGAGATCAGGATTAAGGCCCTAGACCAGTGTTTTGCAAGCTTTTGATACATAGGGCACACTTATTTTCTGAAACACTTTACTCTTACACTTGAAAAGGTGTATATAAATTTGTCAAAACATATAGCATATTCTATTCCCCTGCCGTAGGAAATCATACCAGTGCTGAGATGTACTATAAAAAATTACACTGACTCTTGAAGATTTCCAGGGTAGGTGATTGCAGCACCTCTGGAGGGAACTTATTCCACAGTCTGGACACCCTGACTGTGAAGAAATTTTTCCTAATGTTGAGCCTGAATTGGTCTTCCAGGAGTTTGTGGCCATTACTCCTGGTTTTCCCCTCGGGTGCCCTGGTGAACAGTTGCTCACCGAGCGCTTGATGTACTCCCCTAGTGTAACAGTAAGCTGCTACCAGGTCCCCTCTCAGCCTTCTTTTCCTTAGGCTGAAGAGTCCCAGATCCCTCAGCCTTTCCATGTATGGCTTGCCTTTTAAGATTCTGATCATATGGGTGGTTCTTCTTTGGACTCTCTCAAGTTTGTCCACGACCTTGTTAAAGTGTGGTATGCAGAACTGGACGTGAAATTTATGCGGAGCAACAAATTTCAGTGCTTATTGTGCCTGTATTTATTGCTCTTGGGCGTGCTATTTGAATGTGCACCCAGGACCACAGCACATTAAACTGGGTCAGAGCAGCCCCAGCTGCCAAGGGTCTGGGTGCTCAGCCTGCCAGCTGAGGACTGCTCTGACCTAGCTCAGCACGGGTGGGCTGGCTGGGGCATGAGGGTGGTCCAGCGTGGGGCTAGCTGGCAGGCCCCAGCCAGCCAGCCAGCCACATCAGCATCTGCATGTGTGCTGCTGCAGAGTAAAAAACTCTGCAACAAGATAGTACTTGTGTTTAAAAGTACTACCCTGCTGCAGAGTTTATTCGTTTCCTGCAGCCTAATAGGGCCACATGTATAGATACCAAGACCTTTACTGCAGAGCTAGTTAGGCAACTCTGCAGTAAATGTCTCGTGTAGACACACACCAAGTGTATCTTTAATTAATTAAAGAATTGGGCTCTCAACCTTTCTAGCCTCAAGGCCCTGCTCAACTTTTCTGAATTTCATGGCATCCCAGTTGAAAAAAAACACCGACACATATCCAAATTCAGAACATGGAGAGGGCCTTGAGGCTAAAAAAGTTAGAATCACTGATCTAACTGGTGCCACTTGGGGGTGGCATGGCAGGACTTCACCTGCTGTGCCTTGCTCTTTCCATTGTTTGTTCCCTCCTGCACACCTAGGGGCCAAGAGCAGACCCTGCTGCTGAGGTTGCTCCTGCAGGGTCTCACATGCTAGTGGCCATTCCTGTGGCCCTTTCTGCCAGTTTTGGGAGTGTGGGAGAAGTGGAGGAGATGAGGCGGGCTACAAAGCACAACTGCATCTGTGCAACTGCACACTCACAGGAGAGTGCACTGCTGGGAAGTGTATGGCGGGCATCAATGTATGCAAATGATACATTGCACATAGGGGAGCAGAGAACAGTATGCTCAGGCCTGTGGTTTTATTGTAAAGATAACATTTGACTCAGTTTTTTTTCCTGCAGTGTATGCAAATAAGTTACTCATTTTAATTTGAATAGTTTTGCCACCAGCTGAATTCTATTTTTTATATAACATTCTTTCTTTGTTAAAAGATCTTAGACCAGTTTCAGTCTAAAATTCTGCAAACTATTTAAACATAAAAAAATCGGGATTAAATAGTTAAGGCAAAAAGGTCTAATTTAGAACTTTCCTAACCAGATCTACTCTATTTATTATTTTTTTCAGTCACTAATGCTACCAGTTATGTTAGAATCCAACAAATCAAACAACTTTAGAGAGAAAGCTGAGATTCCATCATGCTTAGAACTGAAAAATGTATTAAACTTAACTCCAGAAGATATAGTGAATGAGAGCACTGGAAGAGGTAAGGATTTGTTTCTTGGTAATGGTGGGCTGGATTCTTCTTTAATTTACAAAGACTGTGCACTCTTTTATCTTCAATTAAAGATTTATGTTTGTGTAAACCAAATGAGAGCAAGTCCCATTCTGTATATAAAACTATGGAATATGCTTTATCAAAATTTCAAAGTATTAAAGGTTCTCTATAAACAAACAAAAATAAGTGATCTTTTGTAGGTAGTATATTTCAATCCAGACCTATGCAGTAATCTCCAAAGCAGACATTGCTAAATGAGTTGAAGGGGTAATTCTAATCCCTGCTCTCTCATGAATACTGTGAGCATTGAATTGAGTATGTTAGCCATCTGAGATTAATCTTACTCTGAAAGACATCCCAGACTAGGTTACAATAATATATGCAGCACAGTCGCAGCATATAAATTGCTGATGTCATGCAGTTAAAAGGGGAGCTGATTGCACCTACTTTATTTAGATTGCCTGATATTTTCAATTACAGTTTCTTGTGAGTTTTTCTTTGGAAAGCTTTCTTACTGCCAGCTTTTACAATGGACCTTTGATAATCAGAAGGAGAATGACCCTCAGGCTATAGAAGTATCTTTTCCTTTGTCCCTTGAAATTCTATTCAGCTTTTACTATTAAAGTATTAGAAATTACCATTTTCATCTCTAACCTTCATTCTTTACGAAAAGTTTGGCAGCCTGTTAAAAGAACTAAACATGCTCACGGCACGCTGACCATACTGTACTGGGAACACCAATATAGCTGTAGCAATGGAAGGCTCCATAATTCCATAATTTTGCTCAGGTCTTGACCTGAGCTGGGTTCCACCCAACTCTGGACCTTGTTTATGACTCCAGTGGCTCATGTGCCACATGATGTTGCCGGTGGCCTCCTGTTTGGGGCGGGGGGAAGAGAAGAGAGAACCGAACTAGCATCTCCATCAGTAATCCATAGCACCTGACTCAGTGGTCCATTTCACTCCTACCCTAGTCATACAAGACTGGAACTCCCTCGTCACCACCACTTTCAAGATCAACAATCTGTCCTTTTCTGAGTTAACAGACTCGTCCTGCTGCGAGCTAATATATAGTCAGTCTTGAAACTCAGGTAGAATAATTTGCACAACTGATTCAAACTCATCTTGTGATATGGGACTATTACAGAAATCAACAAGATCAGTCTAAGTTCTGGATTGGTAGTTTAAAACACTTGTGTTGGCAGTTTATAAAAATGTAAGGACAGGAAAACATTAAATGAAATCAAGGAGGTGACAAATCCAAAGCTAATAATTAGCCACACAAAACAAAATGAGCTTGCAGAACTTACTGTCATAGGGTATTATTTATTTAGTTCATATTTAGTCCATTATTTAGTCCATATTTCTAAAAAGCAGTATACATTTATATCAATAATAATATTTAAAAGTTATAGTAATAAAGGCAAAAAACAACAAGAAACAAACCCAGTGGCCCTTGCTAATCTGACCTGCAGGAATCTTCCTGATCCCAAATGTGGCAATCACTTTAACCCTGAGCACATGAGGAATGCCTACCAGCCAAGCATCTGAAGGTTTTCCCAGCACCATTATGCTCATGAATACATCCCAGCCAGGTTCTTGTTTTAGCGGTGAGTCAGACAAATGTCAAATCAGCCACATCTAAATTATGCAGAGTTTGTTCCACCTTCTTCTGAAGCTTCTGGTACTAATCATTGCCACACAGGTACCTGATCAGGCCAGAGGTCCATCTAGTCTTTTATGGCAATTGTCACTTCTTATGAAAACCTACTGTTTACCTGGAAACAAATGGTAATTGCAGTCCTTCATTGTGGTGAAGTCAATTAACAACAGAGGTCAATAAAGAAACATTCAAGGTTTTGAGAGAGAAATAAAATTAGATGGTTACCATTTGTAGCACTTTTTTTCTTTAGATCTTACTGCAGAAATTACAAGTGAAATACAGATTTCCAAATACTGTCCTACAGTGGAAGTGGCATGTTTCACTCCAGGCCAAAATACAGTGGAATGGAGCAAATCAGGTAGGGAGTGGGCAAATCCAGTAATAGGCATTTAAGAATAATTCTTTTAAAGCAGTTGTTCATACACATTCCACTTAGACATGCTGTTGGAATTGGAATGGTTTAGCCAACAGTGTCCGTTGGTTGAGGTTATGCCCCAAGTTCCCTCATGTTTTCCCCTTTATAGAATAATAATGCAGAGCAAATCCAGTTGTTCCTCAGTTCTTTTTAACAACTCATGACTAAGATGGAACTGTATGCACTATTTGTGTCTCTTTCTATTGTTTAGCTTTATAAATAGTTTAAGGGATTGTCTACATAGGGACAATCAGAAAAGTTAAGGCAAATCAAATAAAGTTGTACAATTAACACACATAAGTTAAAGCGTGTTAAATACTTACGTGGTTGCTCATTTAGTTTTGAAGGTGCCTTAAATGTCTATAGCTTAATCCTTGCCACACTAAATTGTATACATTGACTTTGCACTTTTAGTTGATTCATATTAATTCTCCTGGGTGTCCCCGTGTAGAAAAGTCTGGTATTCACAGTAGTTCTCTGGTTAACTAGGTGGCTTTGGTCTGCTGATGGGGTTTTATTCACATATTCTTCCCATTTTTCATACCTGATACAGGGTTTCAGTCATAACTGAACCAACCATCTCATTTGTTGTGTTTGTAAGTCAGCTATGCCCCTCACGGATGGATATTTAGAATCCTATTATATATATCTAAAACTAACAAATATTTAGTTCATAGGCAGCTTTCAAAATAAATGCAGAAGCTGAGGAGAATTCACTTGTAGCTTCTCTTTTACAATAGACTGGTGAGACCTACTTTAGATTCAGGCAGTAAGGATTCTCTGGTTGTAGATAAAACTTCTACTGACAGTGCTTCATTCCGTGCTTCATTGAAGTATCTAAATCGCAGCTGTCTCACAGTCATTATTTAGTTAGATTCTGAATATTCACTTCCTGTACTTAAGATTACTGTTTGTGAATCAGCAAAAATGGAATACTTATGGGCTATCACTCGAAGAAAAAAGAACCATTACTTAAAGTTAACTGTGCTTTTCAAGATGTATTTTCTATATATACTCCATGACCTGGCCTCCTTCCCTACTAGCCCAAAAAACACCTGCATGAAAGAACTAATGAACAGTTGCCTCTGCTCCACTGTTACTTTAGAATGTCTTGTTCATGAGCTGCAGACATGGGCCAATACATATCATTGGTCACAAGTTTCAGATATCAAACACAGGTATTCCAAGAGTGGAATACATAGGGATAATACAGTAATTCTACAGTAATTGTTTCAATAGTGACAGAAACTTTTGCTGCCCTGATAACACCTCTTTAGTTCTATTAACAAAATAAATGGTAGGAAACTAATTGCAATGGGATAAAGTGAATACACTAGAAAAGGACAGGGATGTTGGGATCGGGGAATCTGTCCATGACCCTGGGGTCCGTGTGGTTGGGATGTCAAGTGCCATGCTTCCCAGCTTCCTGGGAATGGCAGGGAAAAATAGTCAACCTGCTGGATTACAGGCACCCTGAGGCTCCCCATGACCCAGCACCAGAATGTGACTTGCTGCTCAGCCCCAGCTGGAGCTGTGAGACAATGCAAGCACCATTCTGGGTCACACTGAGCCCTGCAACCCCTTGCAACCTGAATGCAACCCAGCTGATGAGCTGTCAGCCTGCCAAACATGGAGGAAGCTGCAGGCATCAGAATGCATGGAGGGGATACCCTGTGACATGGTTAGTTTATTTTGTGGAATATTTTTATGGCTGGTTTCTCATTTTGTCATGCCATTAATTGCCTAAACATGTGGCCAGGTTACTATTTATAGTGTGATTGACAGGTTAATTGCATCTTAAGTGTAACGTCTGCTAGGGGCCCATCTGGGACTGAATTAATTTCAGTGGACATCCTCCTGTCAGGAGAACTTACAAGACTAGACTAGACTATTAATTACACTTGAAGCAATAAACCTCTCTCTCAAACCCTGAGGTGTCTGAGTTGCACATTTTCTGGTTCCCATTATCAATAGGAGAGGCCTTACAAACACAGCAAGGATAATCTGTAATTTTGTTTAAGTGTGGGTATGATGGGACCCTGAGTCAGCCAAGGCCTTGAAAATACAAACTTCCTGCGAAGTGAGATACTCAATTACAGGAAATTTAGCGATAAAAAATCCCAACTTTAATAATTAGGGAAAACATTACCACGGAACTGAGGAAGACAGAATATAACATAAACTTATTACACAGTGGGTGCATCTACACATGCAGTTAGCACTCAGAAATAATGTTGAGGGTAGTTTATGCTAGGGTTTCAACTCCCGGGCTCAGCATATACATGTACACCCTGGACTACAGCAGTTAGATGTGGGGTGGAGCAGCCCCAGGCTGGCAGGGGGCTCTAGGGGTTAGTCCCAGGCTCCAGATGGCAGCATTGGGTGATGGGAGTGCTGGCTGGGGCACAAGGATGCTACAGTGCAGGGATAGCCAGCAGGCAGCCCCTGCACTGTAGCATCCTTGGGCCCCAGCCAGCCCAGATCACTGTCTACATGTGTTTCAGCACACTAAATGACTCTGCCATAGGATAGTACTTGTCCCAGATAGTACTATCCTACAGTGGAGTTAATTAATTTACTACACCCTAATATGGTGACACTTTACTGCAGAGCTAAATAGTCAGCCCCTCAGTAAAGCACACGTGTAGATGCACCCACTATCTCTGAACACTTTTTATTCTCACCCCTGGCTAGGGCTTATTTACAGCCTACAGCTGGCCCAGTGGCAGTCAGGAATCCTCACTGTCTCTGCAGTGAACCCCTCCTTGCTCTAGGAGGTCTGGCCTTCTCTGCTTTTCTCAGCAGACTGCCCCTGCCCTACTGCTCCGGCCTTCTTTGCTGCAGCCCCCATGTTGCAAACTCCCTCCATCTGCACTCTCTGGGGCTTCACACCAACAGGTTCCTGTGGACTCCAGCAGGCAGTCACACAGGGACTCACAGGCATGTGCACACTCAAGCTCCCCAGATTATATCGCCTTCCCCCCGCCAAAAAAAACTTCTGAAAAAAGCCAGAGGGCACCTGTACATGTGTCCAATGCCTGCTTCAACACATTCTAATTAGAACACTCTGTCAGCCTTGGCATTATGTGAATTCAGCATCCCTGCATTTCAAAATGGCAGCAGGGGTGTTTTAACTTGAGCTCGGGAAACTAGCTTTAAAGTGCTCTCACTGCCATTTTGAAGTGTGGGACACTGAATACATGAGTTGCTGCAGGCAGTTTAATTAGAGCGGCTCCTGAAAGCCACTATAATTAAAATGTCCCTTCCCCCCCTCCTCTGCCCCAGAGCATGTGTGAAGACACCCAGAGTTCTCAGAAAAGGGATCCTTCCAGCACCATCCAGAGGGCAGAATGCAGTTAGCCAGGCCACACCAAACCCCTCTGCAATCCAGCCTTTCAATCCAGCCTTTGTTTCCCTGCCAGAACAAAACTCATCTGAAGAAACCCTTTCAACATGTAATACCCAAACAAACAACACAACCACATAATTGTCACAGTGGGCTATAAGATAGGGTCACACCTCCTCAACTTTGTATTAGAAAACCTAAAACAAAAGCAAATAATTATTTTAATTATGGATAGTTCTAACTGTGAACATATTTCTAAAATTGCATAGTAGAAATGTGAAGGAGGGGGAGGGAATGTCTTATGCATTACTATTCCCCTGGCTACCTGAAAATTAAACTGAAAGTACAGCAATTTGTTTTTATTGAGTAAGTGATTAAAATGATTATGAAGATATTTTAATATATAATACTGTTAATGTTAGGGTTATACAGTACATAAATATTTACATTTCTTTTTTTTAACATTGTGATGTGATTTTTCTGTAATTTCTAGTTAGTTACACTTTATGTCCTCAAAATGAACTGGAAATAACTCTAACTCCTCCATGCAAATCACAAAGATCACAACTGAATTCACTGTGTGCTGGACTTCAGGCAGAACCTATTTCTCCTGTTAGTAACAGGTAATTAAAACTTTAATAGGAACAACATTGGTACAAAATATTCTAAATTAGTGCAACAATAGCTCTACTGAATTCTCTTAAATTATGGTTTTCTTGTACAAAATATGCCACTTTGATGATTATGTCTATTAGATATTTTACTCTGAAGAGATGCTTTCCCCCAGGAGATATTCCATATGCATGGTCTTCATGAAAGGAGCTTAACAGACCATAAGAGTCACTTTTTGTTATCTTCCTCCTTCTAGAAGGCTAAATAGCTTGACAGTGCAGCTTCATCCTTTATACTTGCATAGGAATCATTTCACCCAAGTATTCAGTAGTGAAACTGAGTATTGACAATCATAACATGAGGACAGAAGGTAAATCTTTTCCAATCAGGCTATGAAGTGGCAGCAGAGCTGTTGCATGTTGGCGTATCCATCCTCTGCAGTCTTGCTACCCTTAAGACTCAAGTATCATCTTTAAAGGAAAATTTCCATTCTCGTCCTCCCCCAACACAGTAAATTCATTTGCAAAATTCCTTTCCCTAAATCTATTAATAGAAAATCAGTTTGGAAATCCAAAGACATGATGTTAAGTTTCTTGCCTGATGTGTCTTTTTTTGTGTGTTCCTTTTAGTATTTTGATTACAGAGTCAAATAAAGAATACTTAGAGTGCTTGGTGTGGCAGTCAGAGAAATATCAAAATGCCATGAATTCTCTTTTGCTTGAAGGTAAAGGGATATAAGTTCTGTTATACTGAATTGATAGTGAAGAGGTTTATATGAAAATGGACCACGGAACCATTGAAATTAGCCTGGAAAGTGCTCAAGAAAATGTAATGAGGATGGGCACATTTACACAAGATTCTCAATGTGCAGTAATTGACTGTGCATTAACCATCATGAAAAAAGTGTGCAATCAAGCCTACTGCACATTTAAATTGTATTTCCTTTTGCAAGTGCTAAATGTAATGCTCAGTAGGCACTGTGCATTCATGAACATGTAGATGTGGCTGATATGTTTTATAAAAGAATTCATAAGTACCTCTCCTGTTCACGTGCTGAAAATGCATCCCACTGAGCCTAAGTTAGAATCTAAGTGAGTCTAATAAAATCTGAAACACCACAAAAGCTCTAGGATGACAAAGGTACAGCTAGGGATCAAATGTCTTGCCACTGCAACAACTGGAAAGTAGTTGATTTATACAGTGGTGACATGCACCCCCTGAGAGTGCCGGTGCACCCCCTGTCAGCCAGCACTCCCCGCTCAGGCGATGGGCGGGGGGGCAGGCGGGATTGCTGGTGTCCCCCCTGTGAGCACCGGATGGGGAGCGCAAGCACTTGATGTAAGCTGCAGCCATTTTCGGAAGCAGTGTGGCCTCTCACTGGCCAGTAAGATTTGCTGCGGGGGAAGCCCCCCCTAGTCAGCCTGATTGGCCACAGGGAGACACCCCCCCCAGACTCTGACTGGTTGCTGGGGGGGCACATGCTCCTCCCTTACTAAGGCAGCACCAGTTGCCTATGGATTTATATATGCTCAGATGATCCTAGGGAAAAGACCGTGTCCAATGCTATAAAGAGGGGTGTCAAATTAATTGGGCCCCACAGGCTGGATCCAGACTGTGGGACTTTTTGCAGAGTGTATAGTGCATGAGTGGTGGGAGCAGTGGCATTAATTCCCATGGCAGCCAAAGTTGAAGTTGCAGCACAAGTCTGGAATCCAGAGTTAACACCACTCCCCTCCCCACTTTTTCCTTGCTACTGGTCTTGGTTATCAGAGGCAACTAAAACCCTTGATTTCAGGAGCAAGTAAGAGGGGTAAGGTGAGGGGAGGTAACTCCCTGAGCCATGCCAAAACAGTGGAGATTATTACTGCAGCCTCAGGTGTTCCATCAGCCACAGCGGGGATCCCTTCAGGCTGAATCCAGCCCATGGAGGTGAGTGGTTCAGCCCATGAGAAGCATCCTGGGCCAGATGTGGCCCACAGGCATGTTTGAGATACCTGCTATAGTGGAAGGCAACAACTCCCACAGTCCATTCCGTGTGACCAAGGGGAAATGCTCCTTTCTGACCCAAATTAGTTTGACCTTGAGGAAAAGAACAAGACCCTGCTGGCTAAGAACCTTTTGTGAGGTAACTAATTAGCTTGCCTATTATTCATCTTCCACAGTAATAATTTGAGAGAATCACTGAAAAATAGGACTGGATGAGACCTCAAAAGTTGTCTAGGGCAACCCTCTGCTGAAGGCAGGATCATCCCTGCCTGACTCAGTGAAGGTGATTACATAACCTCTTTGAGTAATCTGTGCTTAAACAGTCTTGTAATTAGAAAGTTCATACTAATATTTAACCTAGGACTCCCTTGTAGTTTGGACCCATTTCTACTTGTCTTGTCCCCGGTGGACATATAAAATAATTGATTTCCATCCCTATAACAAAGTTCGTGTGGGTTTGATGATTTATCAGGTTCTCCATCAGTCTTCTCTTCTCCAGCTAAAATAATCCCGATTCTTTGAGCCTTTCCTTCTGTCATGTTTCCTAGATCTCTGATAATTTTTCTTGCTCTTCTATGGACCCTCTGCAGTTTGTCTACATATTTCTTAATGTATTCTGCCAAAATAAAACCGTTCTCCAGGTGGGAGACCATACTAGTGCTAAATAGAACACATAGCATAAAAGTCATGCTCTTGCTGGAAAAACTTCAGTTCACCTGCTGCTAATTACTTTTAATGGAAATGGTAGTTTTTGTAAGTGAGTGTAATTTATGTGGGACTATTGTTTGAAAGTCCTTGTTAATAGCCTCCATAATGTGATCATAATTATGGGGAGTTTAAGTTTCTAATGTCAAAAGCACACATTAGGGAGTGAAGTGCAGAAGCAAAACCAATAAACCGTGTATTATTTCTGAACCCAGCATGCGAGTTATGAAACAGCAGCCAAAAACCCATCGCCACTGTTCACACATTTCATTGTCCCCCATTGTCCTCTGATAGTTCCAGATCAGATTAGCAATTGATGTCATCTAATTCCTTTGTAAAATAATCTAGTTACTATTTAGGGTTTTCTCTCCAAGTATTGAGTATAACAGCTGCTTGTAAGCACAGCAATTAAACCCACAGAATGAACAAATTTTGCATTGTGTGTAAAGCACAGATGCAGGTGTATATAGCAAGACACCGGAGTTAAAATCACAGCTAGAGAGTTTAACACAAAAGACAAAGTGTGAAAGAGCTGATTTTACTAATGTGGGTAAAATAGTTGTTTTTTTTCTTATATCCAATTTAGGATCCTGAATTGTTATGAGAAGTATATCCAAAAAGAGATACATAATCTAAGCCATAAATATTTAGAAGGGGTTTTGTTTTCCAAGCTTTGTTTTTTTTCTCACATTACTAGTTTTTTAATACAGAATATTTTCTCTTTTTAGAGCATCCAGCTCCTGAACATACATGCCAACATTGTTCAGTTACAGAACTGAAGAAGTTACTATCTGTCAAAGTAGAAACACCAGTGTTAAGCCCATTGAAAGCAGGCTGGTGGCTTTACTCGGGATTAAATCTGGTATCACCAGATGTTTTAGAGCAATTAGTAAATATAGATTTGACTAGTGCAAATAGCCTGCTTCCTACTCAGGTGGAAACATTCTCACAAATTACATCAACTCAGTTAGAAAGTAAGTATATTTGTTTTTTGTTAGAAATGATCAATGATGAAAATGACACAGAAAGGAGCAGAGAATCACTTGGTTCATTAACAGATTCAACAGTACTGACCCACAGAAAATTTCTCACCCTGAATAATGAAAGAAATTAAAACAGCATAAGTTATTAAGCAATCTTACCATAAGGTTGAAGTTTGAAAAAGTTAGATTGGCATTTGCATGGATAAAAATGTATGTGCAACTACCTCCTTTCTTGGCCCTTACAATTAATAAGACTGCATGTGGGAAATATGGTAGTTGCAAGTGAAAATTAGCCACATGAGGCCCCTCACATTTTCAGTAAAATACATAATGGCAGGAGAATTCTTGAATGAAAGGTAATAAATAATTTCAAATAAATATAAATTTCTATTATTCATTGGTATCGCTATAATACTGAACACTAGGATCATAGGAAAGTTGGGCGGGAAAGGACCTCACAAGGTCATCTAATGCAGTCACCTGCTCAAGGAAGGATCATCCCTGATTAAACAGTCCCAGCCAAGTGTATGTCTAACCAGCTTTGGACAATTTCATGTGTTGGAGATTCTACAACTTCTGTAAGTAACCTGTTCCAATGTTTGACGACCCTCATAGTCAGAAAGTACCCTTTTATCTCCAACCGAAATTTCCCTGGCTGCAGCTTGAGGCCATTGCTTTCAGTCCTATCCCCTACAGTCACCAAGAAAAGCCCATCTCTATCCTATAATCTGTTTATCAGACTTTCATAGAGTTCTAGTTTTTTCAAGGATAGCTCAGTAGTCCAGGACTTGTAGCAAATTCAGCTGCTTGTGTGGTAGTGAAAACTCATTGATCAGCTGGAGTTTTCTCACTATGGTGACATGTAAAGTCATAAAATCAGAAAATTAGGGTTGAAAAGGACCTCAGAAGATCATCTAGTCCAACCCCCTGCTCAAAGCAGGACCATCCCCAACTATATGGAGCATGACTGTATGCCACATGGAAGAACCCTGCCACCTACCTTTGGCAACATTCTAGGGGCACATCATATTGCAAAATATTTGGCTATAACATTATAAACATATAGATATGGCAGGAAGCTATATGCTTTCTATATATATATCCTTAAATGTAAAATATTTCCAATGAACATGGTTACCTATATCCATAACCAAATTTCTTCCCACCCCAAATGACAAGACTTTAAGACCCCTCTACACATTACATTTATGCCATGATTAACATATTAATCATAGCATAAACAGCAAGGATGCTACATATGCATTCAACTTAAGGTTCCATAAAATGGCAAACCAGTCATAAAAATATTCTACATTGTATTGCACCTTAAATTTTAAGCATTTTGGGGTGCCTATACACATTTGTCGAGGCTGCTCTGATGTGCTGTAATTACAGTGCATTGGAGCAGACTTGATAAATCGAGTCTACTGGAGTGTGATAATTACTGCACTCCAGCAGATACCAGTGTCATATGTATTGGCCTCCCCACACTGAAAAATGGTGGCGTGGGTACTTTAACTAAAGCTCATTTGACAAGCTTTAGTTAAAGCACCCCCACCACCATTTTTCAGCACAGACACATAAAGCTCCGGGCATTTTAATTAGAGTAGCTCTTGGAGCTGCTCTACTTAAAGCAAACCCTCCCTCCCTGCCTCCTGGAGCACATGTATAAATGCCCTGTAAATCTGGGGGACATTCATTTAAATGAACAATGGGATCTGATGAGGTCCAAGGCCAACAATCAGTTGACTCTCAGCTCCAGCCAGGAACCATACAGGGTCTTGGAACTTCCTCTGAGGCAGTCAGGGGCTGGGGCTGACAGTAGGCTGATTGTTGACTACAGACCACACTGGGGCCAGTTTAAGACCCCAGGGTGGCCCCTGACTAGAGCCAACAATCAGCTAATTGACATCCTGGGTCTCAGACCTTCACCCTTGCCAGTGCAGGGGAAGTCGGGATCGTGATCAGGAGGAGCATGTGTGGCATGGCAAGAGGTACAATTTAGGATTGAGGATTAGATGTCATTGGGCACATCTACTCATTGCCCTATGGTGATATTGTTACTGCACTGTGCTTTAGTACTTCAGAAAGTACTTTGGAAGTACTAAAGCATGGCGTAGTAACTGCCCATGCTGTGCCGTTCACACAGTTAGTTTTAGCTGCTACTTCACCATAGTAGTGCACTAAAATGGGGGAGCACACTGTGGCAAAGTAGCTGCCAGTCGCATGTAGAGTCATATGATCGCTAAGTCGCTGTAGCGCATCATATGGTGATTGAGTGCATTGTTATGGCAACCATAGGTGGCACAAGGCCAGGGCTTGGTGGGGGCTTAGCCCTCCCCCCAAAAACTAATTTTGCGGTGGCTGGCAACACCAGCAGCACCACAATGCCACTCAGTGTGAGGCCAGGCCAGCACCCCACACACCCTCAGCTCTGTGAGGCTGAGGAAGGGGCTAACCATATGTGTCATACTGTGCATTGCCCAAAGGGAGTTGTAGTTCTCACCCCGACACATGCACTCAGCCCTTCCCACCCCCTCACCCCCAATAATATTTTCTCCCTCCATCTATGACAGCAACATAAGGTGACATGTAGATGTGCCCATTGTGTCTTTAAATGAATGCATGCCAGGGGCCTAAACGGCACAGATACCAGTAGAGAAAATGTTTGAAAGCACTTAAATTATTTTCTATAATGGAATTCTTGCTTTCTGTTCTTCCAAGTTTGTTGTTACCTGGAGATAACATGATCAGTACAATAGAGTAATCAGTATAATCGTACCAATAGCAAGTCCACTATCATGAGTTATAAGTTCTTCAAAGGTGTGGTTCCTTACTAGGAGAATTCAAAACTACAGGGAAATGTTTTCTTTTCTTTCAGGATTGCTTGAAGAAAATAATTCCATTAGTAACCAAGGATTGTTTTCTGCTGGTGCACATCACAAGGACAAAACAACAAATCTACATTTCACACCTCAAAAGAAAAACCAGTGCTCTCCATTACATATGAAGGCAGCACAGTGTGGTGTCATACATGATGCAAGTACACCTGCTGAAAAGCTAACAAGAGAAGAGATAGAGCAAAATAAGACAGAAAGACCAACACATTTCCTAAACCAAGAGAAAGAAGACAAGAATAACCTTGAATCCCTCAGCTGTAAGGAAGTATCTTTTGAACCAAACAGCTCTTCAAGAAATGAAAGGAATATACCAGCTGAACTGACCAGAAAATGTGATGATGGTTCTGACCTTTTGAGCAACTTCATTATGCTGAGATCTAAGCATGTACTTATCGAAAATGAAGAAAAGAATAATGTGGCTGGTCAAAAACAGGGTAGGTGAACCGTTCTGTCCAGTCATTATTCTGAGCCTGATTCTTCTGTCTTACATAACTGTAAATTGGGTGTAACTATACCAAAGTCAGTGGAATTACACGGGATGAACACTTGGTGAAATTTCTATTCATGTGATATTTCATCTATGGTGGTACCTTATTTATTGCCTTAATAATATATTAAAGTTAGGCTCCACTATGAAAGGTGATTGTGAAAATAGTACCTTTGCTCACAAGCTTGGCTCCCAGTAAAG